CGCACCTCGCTCAGCCAGTGAGCGGGAACCGGTCTGTATGTGGGATCCGAACCCTCGGCGGGAGCGCCGCCACGCTTCCCAAGCAGCGCACTATAGCAGTGCGCCACTGGGCCAGCCCCAAGGAAAATGGTTTTTTAAAGCACAGAGGTAATTTGAACTAGTGAAATCAAAGTTGGACTCCAAATTTATTAGTTTTAGTAAAGAAATTAAGAAAGTCCTGTCTAACTTGCATGCTCTTCTCTGGTGACATTTTTTTTCATTCCACAGCAGTCTTATTCCCAAAAAATGAATCACTATTCCATTATATGAGTTTTTGTCTCAACTTGCACATAACATCAAACAACTCAGGTGCAGTCGGTCCATCCTTTCCTAGGCTCCTTCTGGCCTCTTCAAAGATCAAACAGTTTTGAAGAAACAGCACATAAATTTCTGTTTTACTATAATCCTTTTCTCCATTCTCATCCTTAATATATTTCCAAATCAAAGGACATTCTCTTCCTGTCCCACACTTTGAAAATATGATCTTATGGCAGACCAACATTTTAGCAACTTTTCTATGGCTGGCAGCAATGATAGCAATCTTGTAGACACATGTCTAAAGAGGTTCTCTCCTTCCATTTCTATAAAGTAAAAAATCTCATTAAGGGCCTCTGCACATTTTGAGGAAACTGAAAAGTAACCCAACATTTTCATTATGAAAGTCTCAATATCACATTTAAGCAAATCACACCGCTTTTTAGCAGTATTGTACATAAGATGTGCAGGACATTGAACAGGTAAGATCGTCCCATTTTCCTGGGTAAGAAGTTTATAGACTGAATGGAATTTGCCAAAATTCACATCTGCACTGTCTGACAAATATGTGGATAGATGACCTAAGTCTAGTTTGTATTTAGACAAAGTATCAATAATATTTTGTTTTGGGCCGGCCTGGTGGCGCACTGGAGAGTGCGCCGCCTGGGAGTGCGGCGGCGCTCCCGCCGAGGGTTCGGATCCCATGTGGAGACCGGTTCCCGCTCACTGGTTGAGCGCGGTGCGGGCGCAACACCGAGGGTTGTGATCCCGTTGCCAGTCCCCAGTGCAGGCATGACACCGAGGGTTGCGATCCCGTTACTGGTCAGTAAAAAAGACAAAAAGGAAAAAAAAAAATTTCGTTTTATGATTTGAGCAGTTTCATTAAAATCCTCATAGAAATCAATATGATTTGAAACTCCGTTTTCAAGTCAAAGTACCTAAGAGCTAGAGGGAATTTTTTTTGTCGCCATGATTTTGTACATCACTTGAAACTGATATACTGTAGAAAGGATGATTGTTGGTGAGATATGACAAAATCAACTCTGCACTGTAAGGAGCCAATACATCTGTTACCAAAACGTCCCCTTTTGTTCACCCACAGGATATTTCAGCTGCAATCCCTGAATCAGGGAATGTAATTTTACTCAGTTTCCCAGAGCCACAAGGGAATGTACGACAATGCATGTTTGTTCATGGGGTGTGTTCAAGCTAATTCAGCAGCTGCTATTTCTGACTAAATATTGGTGTCTTTTTGGGAAATGAAAATATTCTTGATTGGTTTAGAAGCACCCACCTGTCTCATCCAGGAATGTGAGATACGGTCTCCATATGTGCTTTCACATCTCCTTCTCCACCATGCCCAGTCCCAAATTCCTTGGTGCATATTGTGCAGTATGCTGTTTTGGTTA